AGAGAGAGAGAGAGTATAACAACATACAGTGGCTGCTTTCTTCTCGGAATAATGCGTCAATTTCTTGAGCTCCTTGTACAGCTCTCCTCTTGCAGCATATTCCAGAATCAAGAATATACGTTCCTAAAAGAGCAACAACAAGAAAACTCATATCATTTCCAGGAATTTTCAAACATTAGGTGATAGAGAAACAGACTAGGGGAATTTGAAAATTAAAGCAGAGATTGAGAAATATTCGAATAAAAACAATGGGTAAATTCTCACAGTAATCTCAGAACAAAAGAGGACCATCATTGAATGGATCAGTAATAAGGAAGAATTACAAAGGGATTTGAGGACATAATCAAATCATAGATAACTGAAAAGAAAAATTCGAACAAATTAAACTGCACCAGAAAGTTTTTTCTAGTTGATTGGCAGAGGTGTTCTCTTTTTTAGTGGTGAATTTACCAAAAAATTCTAAGAATGAAAGGGGCTGGATACATAGAGAGGGTCAGTACCTCATCATGGAAGTAGCCGTAGAGTCGAAGAATGTTGGGGTGGTGAAGTCGACTCTGGATCTCAATCTCTCTCATCAATTGATGCTCAAGCTGGTGTCTACGAATTTGGACCTTGTACAAAATCTTCAGTGCTACAATGTATTTGCTCTGCATTTTATGTTGAAAAGCATGAATGAGAGAGAAAGAGAGATCTGATAATGGGCATCTTTCTCTCTGTAGCGAGGTACACAATTATGTCAAAATGCTCCATTAGAGAGAGAGAGAGAGAGAGATCTGATAATGGGTACCTTTCTCTCTCTAGCAAGGTACACGCTTCCAAACTTTCCTCTTCCAAGAGGTTTGCCAATCTCAAAATCTTCCAGTGTCCATTCTTTGGACTTTTCATCGCCATTTTTCTCCTGTTTTATGAGTGATTTTTGGGCAAAATATGGTTCCAACAGGAAGTAAAAATTGAACATAATAGAGTACAAGTGGAAGAAAAATAATTGAAAAAAAGGGAGGAAAAAGAAAAATATTGATTAAATTGGGAAAATGATAGAAAATTTATGAAAAATTTGAGAGAAAGGTAGGTTTCTTCACTTACAGGCGCCTTCTCTTTGTTCGTAGCCATGGCGATTGTGCTGCTTCAAGGGAGGAGAGAGAGAGAGGCCGTTATGTTTTCTTTTTTCAAAATTGTGTGACCGGTTATGCCCGTTACTGCTAGCCGTTGAAGCGGTTTTAAACGAATTATCCCACGTTGCAGCTCCAATGGCTCCTTAGCAAAATAGGGGCTAGGGCATCATTTTGTGCTGATTCTTTTATCCAGTAGAGAAGATTTAATGGTTTTTGAGAAGAATTAGGGTTAGGGCCCGCTTAAAGCAGTTTTTTGTTTCTCTGCAACTTCGATGGCCTCTCTCTCTCATTTCTACAGGGTTTTTACGAGTTGTCGCGAGGGTTTAGTAAGGGAAAATGGTTTGATGAGGCTGCAGTCCCATCCGAACACAAAACATGAGTGAGGACCTGGTTTCTACGAGTTAATAGAAATGAGTAACCTATCCAAAATTTATTTTTGAGATGGATTTTTAGACTTAATTTTTTTTAAAAAAAGTTTATACCGAACTATGGATGCCCCTAAAAAATCCATCGAAAAAAGTAGTTTTATTGTTGAAAAATCCTTTGATTGATCTCAATATATGACTATGAAAAATAAAAAGATTTTAAGTCTAAAAAATAGTACATTTTACAACATATTATCTACACCGTCCATTTCACGATTTTCATATATTTATAGATCTACTTGATTTTAAACAAATGTCGAATGTATCATCTACTGTCAAATTGCCGGACATCTTTCATTGCTTCATTGTAACTTTAATCTGATTAATACCCTACACTGAAATTACTTGAGTTTTTCCTTCCAAAAAAAAAAAATACATTTACAATATTCAATATTTTTATTATGAAAATCCTAAATCTTGTTTGAATTCTTTCTCAAAATTTGGCCTGTTTCTATAGACGGTAGCTCCAACAAGAGTTTTGAGATAGTGGTGTGCTATCTATACTAATAAATTGGCTAGAGCCCCTGCCAGATGGATGTTTGCACAATATCAATGTCCGAACTGCTTTACACTAAACTATATCTTATCTGATGGATGCACCTTTTGCACCTCATCATGCTTAAACTTCATTCATTGGATTGCTTTGCTGTGAGGCTTAGCTGTATTTGTTTGAAATATAGGTCTCCAGTGCTAGTTCTATATGCATCTGATCTGATTGATACATGCTTGCGTTGCATGTATGATACAGTTGCTCATTGAATTTAAAATTTTATAATTAGATATATAATAGATTTTGAGATAATCCTAAAAACATTTTACATTAAAATTATATACCATGATAAAATTTGAAGGTGCACCTTACCTCTACACCTACGGATGCATCAGTATGCCAACTGCACCCATTTTAAAAACATGTAATCTCAAAGGAGATCATGAATATGATACACATATAAATTTTAAAAAATAAAAATGATAATTCTATTAAAAAATATTTGGACTAATAGTTTCAATTGTTTTTACATGGACTACCCATTTGCATCCATCGATGCTTTATACCTCTGGACCGTATATACGGTCAAGCCTGCATGAAACAATTTTTTATTGGAATTAGCAATATCAATTTTGGGATGGGGTTTGTATGAGTGAACCGATTCATATGTACACATGTGGCCCAATCTAAAATCCACATTAAAGATGATTTTTTCTCTCCAAAATTCGGGATTGATGATCTAGGCTAAGTTGATCATGAATATAATAAATAACTAAACTTAAAATATATTTTTTTGGGGATTTTTGGCATGAAATCTTTATTTTGATTTTTCCTTCGTAAAAAAAGGATCGAAGCTTCTAATTGCAACCATTTTTAAGAAGAAGAGCACAAATGAGGGTATTTTCGTTCTATTTATAACGAAGAGGTTCAAAATGTGTCCTTTGGAAGAAAGGTGGGTATCATAGATCTTTCCCCTTTGTCTATTTTTCCCGAGCCAAAATCTCGTACTCCAGCACAGTAGTACAATGTCCATTTACTCCTTTGGGTAAAGCCTATTTTAGGAATAACTTTATGAATCTCCAACCATAGACCAAGAAGAAATCCAAAATTTGCACTCTCTCTATGCACTAAAAAATAAAAAGTGTCTCAAAATTGAATACCGACTATACAATTTTTTGAAAAGTGAGATCTAAGTCTTAGAAAAATCAAAATTCAATTGTTTTTTAAAAAAAATTCATATGGATTCTTAGGTATTTATAAAAATTTCATATTGAAAAGGATTTTCCCAATTAGGTTATTTGACCAAGGGAGGGTGTATAGTTTACTTCTGCAGGAGTACAATTTATGTACTCTTTTCATAAATACATGCCAAACACACACCCCTACCACTTAGTTTCCATGACTAAACCAGGGAAGTCCTATTTGTTGGACTACTATTAGTGTCGTACCGGTTTGTTCCAAATCAAAATTTAGACTGGTCAAAAATTTGGTTGAATCTTTTGGCTAATTTGTTTAAGGATCATATGTTATAAGATCATTTACCTATTTTACAAGAAGGTCATCATCATTATTGAACATTGGATGTCATCATCATTATTGAACATTGGATGGGAAAACTGATAGCTTGGGTTTATCAAAAAATTAGAGCTTTTTTTTTGACATTGAGCCTGGTATGATATGCTCCTCGATTCATATTTAATGGTAAAAGTGATTGTGACCTCTACCCTCTTGATAGTAAATTTGAAGCTAAAAAATAAACAAAATTTGGCAGATTCATGAAGAATGGAAATAGGCGATCTATTAAACACATGATCATAGAGCTAGACATGTTCGTTCTTTTCTCAAATCCATGATCATCAAGGCGGAGTTGATTGATTTGCAAATTTTCTGATGCCACAACTGCATTTTGGGATGAGACATGAGATGTGACCTTAGTAAAGCCGCTCTACATAATAGCTTTGGAAAATTGTTACATGCGTCGAGGGATCCATTTTTACATTTACGTCTTTGAGGTATAAAGTATTCATCTTAAAAGGATGCAAATTCATGATCCATCTAATAACAGTTGAAACTACGAGTCCAAATTTTTTCTTTATAAAACTTATTAATTTTTATTTTTAAAATCTATTTAATTTTGAAAATCTATTTAATTTTTAAAACATATTTATTTTTTAAAATCTATTTATTTTTAAAATCTATTTATTTTTAAAATCTATTTATTTTTTAAAATTTATTTATTTTTAAAATCTATTTATTTTTAAAATCTATTTATTTTTTCTTTATAAAACTTACTAATTTTAATTTTTAAAATCTATTTAGGAAAGCTAACCGTCTCTCTCTTGGCATCAAAGCTGCCTCTCCTCTCTCTTTCTCTCTCTCTGCAATAAGGCCAGCACTCTCTCTCTCTCATATTCCACTTCCACCTCCAATCTCTCGGTGCCAATGTTATACAGACAAGAATGGACTGATAAGGGTGGCAGTCCGCTCAGGTCCACTCAATCCGGGTCAGGGTCCAAAAGCCCTAGAAGTTTAATCCACTACTAGCTTATATGAACATATGAGTCCAACGGTTTAGATTGAATCTGAGCCGATCTGACGATCACAGATGTTTCGGTAATGCTTGAATTTTTTTTACAAATCCAAATCTCTTGAAATTTTAGGTTCGTGATCTTCTCATCAAAGCACACCTAATAGAAATATAAAAAAATTTATTTACAAAAAACAAAATAACCAAAATACCCCCCAAAGCTTTTCAGGGGTATTTTGGTCAATTTATTTCATGTAAAATATTTTTTTTATATTTTTGAAAGATTCACCTATTTTTTGATAAAAACATGCTTAAAATTTTAAGTGATTTCGATTTGTAGAAAAAAAAAAATTTTCAAACACTATCAGACATCCAAGATCGTAAGATCGGCTCAGATTCAATTTGGGACGTAGGGTTCACATGTTCATATGAACTAGTGGGCTAATCCTAGCTTTTTTCTATGTATATATATATATATATATAAATGAAAGGATCTTGTCAGGCCACGGATTCACTGCTACAATATCAACCAAAGGTTCAAATTCAATCTGATCGATCTAACAGTTATGACCTCATTTCGTATTTGAATTTTAATTTTTTTTCTACAAATCCAAATCGAAATCGCTTGAAATTTTAAATGTTTATTCT